TTGTATATTATTAGTTCACCTTCTATTACTAATGATTAGCTATTGGCGTTCTTATCACTACTCCAGTTAAATTGTGTACATTTTCAAATTTCTAATATATCATCAGATACTAATTACTACTCTTGGAATGTAAATAATCCGTACATTGCAATACAATAACATAAATGATAACACACACCAACTTCCATTTAATGATAATTTAATTTAATAATTATTATATTGTTTATTTTATTATTTAATAGTAACATGATAATAACCTCTTTACTATAACGATGTTATTTTCTTACGGCGAAAAATGCCGAACTACTGCCGAAATTGTTACGACAGGCTTAAGCAATGCTTAAGTCAGGAACATCCTGTGCTTAAAGTTAAGCATCTGTTTCGATTCTTAAGCGCGACTTAACTTGCGGTGCAAACCAATTCCGTCTTTTAAGAACTACTTAAAGCTAAGTAGTACTTATTTAGGTCGGTGCAAACGGGCATCATACATTGAAGCAATGCGCTGTTGCCAAACTTCTCAGCATGGCTTTTAGTAGAGACAGTTTTGCTACTACTATTTTCTTTTATACCTTCTTATAATACAGATCAAAGTTTGTATGAAAAAATAAGCAGTAAGGACTTATAACTTTTTATTTTGCGTAAGACCCCGTAAGACTGCCTTTTTATACCATTCTTTTTTTGCTCAATTGATAGTTTAACAGGAGTAATGTTGCTACAACAATCCTTTAGGTCCACCACGACGAAGAAATACGCTTTCCGCGTTGGAAAGCTCTTTGAAAATAAATGTTGACTTCCTACCATGATTTGATCCATCTGTAGGACGTAGTTGCTGTATGTATTGACGTAATGTCTGTACGTAGTTGATTGGTGCGTCGTTACATACAGGATTGGTTGGAACGAAGAATTCTCCAGGTATTCGAAATGGCTCTCCGTAGACCATCTCTGCTGCTGATGATTTTAGGTCATCTTTCCGCGCAGTACGAATTCCTAGCATTACTGCAGAAAGAATTTCTGTCCAACGGGAAACAGCATGGCACATAATCGCTCCTTTCAGCTGTCGGTGAAGGCGTTCGACAAGACCATTCGCCTGCGGATGGTAAGCGGATGTTCGAAAATGGGCCGTACCAGTCAAGATATTTAGTTGCTTGAACAGGTGGGATTCAAATTGCCTTCCCTGGTNGGGTTTACGTCGTCTGCCGCCATTAACGACTCCCGGGCGCGTTTCCCTGATCAGCTGTCTGGAATGAGCACGGTTGTGTGCATTTCCGGGCGTTCGGACCAAACTTCCTGTGGTACCAACAGCGGTCATTGGAAGGACTGTGGTTCCGAGATTGTGGACGAGAACTGCGCGATCTTGATCGGTATCGATGATGGTGTTGATTGCGCAATTCGGCGACTTCCTGTCTAATCGACGCAATTTCTTATTGTAGCGTAACTGTCAGCTGTTGTAACTGTGCAGTTAGTAAATCGCCAGGGGAAGATGCAGTTTCTGCGATTCGGGGACGGCTGTCCGTTAAATCGATGATAGAATCCGCTAATTCTGCTAGCTTTTCTAGGGTGATATCGCGATGAGCTGCTAAGATGGCTTGCATGTGAGATGGCATACGGGCAAACCAAAGTGTACGCAGCATGGAGTCGGGAACGGTGCTACCAGCGAGTCCCTTGAGATGGCGGAAGAACTGAGACGGCTTCCTGTCACCAATTTCTTCCATCTCTAGAAGTCGTCGGGTCTTCTGTTCTTGGGATGTACTCAGTCTTTTAATCAACTCCGCTTTTATGGTTTCGTATGCATTTGATGCCGGTTTGTTCACTATGATGTCCCGAATTTCTAGTGCGTAGCGGGGTTCCAGGGCGCCTGTGATATAGCTGAACTTGGTGGAGTCGGTTGTAACTCCTGCCGTTGTGAAGTTCTCCTCTACCATCGCAAACCATAGTTCGGGATCAGCAGGAATAAAGGGTGGCACGCGAACTGCGACGCGATCAATTGAGAACGCACTTGTGCCTAATTGGCCCTCACAGTCGGAAGAATTGTTGAAAGACATGTTTTTACACAAAACCCGCACACAGCACACACCAAAAATAAAATAAAGTACTTACAGTTTTTAATGCCACTAAAAACACAACAAATAATGTCACTTTCCGTCGGGGGTCACCACTTTAGGTGAGATAAGGTCAAATAACACAATGAAACAAATGAAACAAATGAAATCAAACGGGACTAACAACTTAACAATATATTTACAAAACTAGAACAATGAAATTAGAAGTGAAAAGAACTGAGAATAAAACTAGAAGACTTAGCAGATGAATTGACTTGAACTGTAGAAAATCGAATTAGGAAGTGTTAATGTTTTGGAAATGAAAATGTTAGGAAAACTATTAGGGCGGAGCTAGAAGCATTTAGATGAAAGTAGGGAACCAATTAGAAGAGAATAAAATCTGGAAATGTGAATATACAAAATACTAAGAAATAGACAAATAGAATGTTAACCCTAAACCGCTGAAGAAACCTATCATTAAAAAGCAATTAAGAAGGGACAATAGTTATTGACATCATGCAGTTAGTACGTGAAGTTGAAATGTTAAAAGGGATTATAGAAAAGTCCAAGTAATAAAGTTATTTGCAGAGAACACAATAGATAGGTACATACACAAAAGATTTGAAATAGAAATATTAAGACAGATATTTACATAATGAGAATAACAGAACAATACAACACAATTTGAACAGAAAAGTTGAAAAGATATTTACAAACAAGAATAATAAAAATAGAAATATGTACAGAAATATTTAAACATGATTTGGCGGCCAGGTATGCGCGGCCACA